TTGTTAAGCCTCACCTGTGCAGACGAGCTTGTTAAGCCTCACCAGTGCTGACGAGCTTGTTAAGCCTCGCCATTTGTAGTAATTCTAGTTAACTGTGCAATTTAAATTGTGTAAACTGAATAAAAGTATGGAGTCTATGTTTAAACCTGCCATGAGTAAGATTTCAAAAGTGAACCGGAAATTAGCTACTGTACTACTCACGACTCAATACAAAACCATATGTATTGCAATATTATATCACACACACACTATTCTATATAAAATCACCTAAAATTAGGTTTTTATTTTTCCGCACCTGACAAAAATATATACCGAAAGGGTTTTAGATTTACATTAAGAATTATTTGGTCTTACAAATCCATTTAAAGGTTTAGCAGCGGGTTAGTAAACATGAGGTTTAATGTTTATTCTCATTGGCTTAAAACAATATTATATGAGAATCCTAATCATTATATTTGGTTGACTTATTAAAAACATATTTTTACATTCAGAATAAAGTTCTGAAATTGCTGTTCTACGGCTGAACAAGTTTTGTACCCTGTTTACTCTGAAATTGTCCCTACAATTTTCTGTATGTGTGGACCGAACTGTTCCATATGGTCACTTACCTATAACGCCCACAGGCAGAAGCAACAAAAGGAAGAGCCCGGTAAGTTTTAATTTTGGAGTGGGGGGTACGGAATCATCAGTCATATTGGCTGCAGCATCATGAAGCTCATCAGTATCCGCATTAAATACACTCAACAGGTTCAAAATCTCTGCCATTACGGTATGTTTAGAAATACACCACACGAGCACACGTGTTGCACCACAACTTCCGTGAAACAGACTAGAACCTCGTGGCAAGACAAGTTCCACGTGGCTACGAGCAGACCCTGAATAGGAACGTTGACATCTAGAACACGCGGCAGTTTGTTACTGATTAGGTCTGCCTTAGTATCAGGTTATCAGCCATCGTTACGATTGGATTAAAATTTGTCATAGTTCAGTTAGCATAGGGTAGATAAAAATATAACAAAGCTTTTTCATATATAAGATTAATAGCATACAAAATAATGTATGTTGGTACATTAGTTAAAAAATAAACTTTCTATAAAATTTCACGGGATATTCTTTGACCTTCAAATTCGATGACGAGGAACCCACTTTGAGACTAATAATGGTTGTCATGTTAAACTTATATTAAAGTTTTTCTTCATTACCCATTTAAGCCGTCTCCAGCCATTATTATTCTTTGACCTTGTTTTACCAACTTACCTCAGTTCGCTAATATTCAGAACGTTTTCCACTAATAGCTTGTTTTAACAGCTCAATAAAGAATAAATCAAAGGAAGAACGAACTATTGAGTTATTATTCATTAAAAAGTTTACTTATTGCGTGACTGTCGTGTTTCCTCTTTTTTTCAAATATATTTTTTGTAAATGATAAAGACGCTATAGTTGAGTGATAATCATACGTCACTGTGACTAAGGGAAGTCAACCAGCTGGCAGTACCCACCACCAACTCTCGGACTACTGTTTTACTAACGAATAGTGGAATTAAACATCAAGTTATAATACCCCTGACGGCTGAAAGAGCGACATCCCCACAACCTACAGATTACGAGTCGAGCCCCCTAACCACCAGGCTAGTAGGCTAAAAAAAAAGCAATATTACCCCGGGCTTACCATATGGGACTAGTTGGCGTGCACCAATTTCTATTTCACATGGGCATAAGGATTTTTCACACTTAATCCAGTAACTTATGATAGAGTCTTTCTTATCAAATATACAATTGATAAATGAAATATAAGATTTCACATATTTTATAAACTTCTCAATTTCTCTCTCTTGCCTCCGTGACTACAGTTATAAATTACATTGTTCAAAAAATTACAAGGTTAATTGTACTCTTATTTAACCCAATATTTAAACATGGAAATATCTGATAGCCCTTTGTGTATCTGGCCCTATAAACAGTTATTTATTCATTTTTATATTTAAATCAGCTTTTTCTTTACAGAAAAGTAAACTGAGTTACAGCTACGTATATTTTAACACATTTGTAGTCAGACATTTTATACTGAGTTACAGCTACGTATATTTTAACCCATTTGTAGTCAGACATTATATACTGAGTTACAGCTACGTACATTTTAACCCATTTGTGGTCAGACATTTTAAAGACAAAGATCCAGTTTTTGTAACTTGTAAGAGGTAGTTCAAACTATTTTTATTGTTTATTATATTGACATATATGTTAAGTAAATGTACAATGTAAACAGCAATCTTTATACACCTATGTAATGAGAGTTATCATTCTCTTATTACACTAGAATCACTCCAAGTGATTAATTCCTCCAAGTAACAAGATCTTTAAATGTATGTTTTGGAATAGAATTTATTCACCAGAGAGATAAAATCTGATTTAAAATACTCAACATCAACTGCTTACTTGGACGGTAAATATCCTTTAAAATATTTATTTTACAGTTTGTTTGTTTATTTTATAATAATTAAGTGTAATGTATACAATAACTGAACTCGGGCTTATGTTTTGCTTTTAAATTTCTAGTTATTTGATTATCAATGCTTTAACTTTAAGATATATTCAAAAAACATCTCAATTTTGGGACTAGCAATCCTTGATAGATGAATTTATTTTAGAACACACAGTGTAGAGCTGGGCAATTAGTGAGATTTGATAACTGATTTACTGCTAATAGTTGGAAATAAAATAAATTGGTTAGTCAGTATGCGAGTTACCAAAATTTGTCTCAACTATTATATATTGATATGTATTTGACATCAGCAACTGTGGGAATGGGGAAGTCAGATACAAAATATTAAATGTGGTTTACCTGTGTAAGAACACTCCACTTCTACACATTGAGATGAAAAAAGCTAACACTACTTCCTGTATCAGTACATCAGTTGTCTTACTTCCTTTTAAAACCCAATAGAATTTCGAATCATGCACTATACACGTCACTTCCTTATTGCCAAGTAACCATACAAACTTTACAGGCCTCCATAACCAAAGAATGTACAAGTCACATGACTAAGTCGATGACAAAAATGACTAAACAGAAAATGGTGACTTCAAAATCAATTCATGATTTTTTTTTTTTTTAGAAAAAAAGATCACCAAATGACACAGACAAGATGAACAACCAAATCAAATGCAAATCCCTAAAAAATAGTGTACTAGTAAAGTTGAAGCAGTTCATAAAACCTGTTCATTGGTTTCAAATGTACACTTGGCTAAAGAAAGAGGAACAGTCTAAAGGTTCTGTTCTCCCGTGTACCGTATGCATATCTGCCGAGGAAAAGATAGCAATTAAATTTGATATACTTACCGGCAATACATTATAGAAAACATTAACTGCACTACAGCTTGTTTTCAGTTAACCTACCACAGTTGAACTCTACGTATACCTTATAGTTGTCGTGGTTGCCATTAGAAATATCTTTGTTTGCAGGGAGGAGAAGATGGATGTTTCATATTTTTCAACATTCCATCTTAGTTATCACTTCAAGTTTCAGTTGGCCCCTGAATCACCATATCTAGGAGCCTGTTGCCCCTAAGGATTTCGTCTAACTTTGAGTCCTGTTAGTATGTAGTGAATCATGACATTAATCGATTAGGCTGAACAATTTTGAATTAATTGTAAATAGTGCGAAATGATAATATTTTGATTAAACGGATAGTTAGAATAACCAAACACAATAATTTTGATTGATTATTTTCATGACATTAATTGATTTAATCAGATTTTTGATTAATTAAATATGATGTGTATGAAGATACATTGATTAATTGAGTTAGTCATCCAGCTGTGTATAGTAGTAGCTGGGAAGGAGATGTACCTTTCTTCCTCCCACTAGGTTAGAGACGTATTTTCTATGTTTCCAACAGTTGAAACTGGGAAGGAGATGTACCTTTCTTCCTCCCACTAGGTTAGAGACGTATTTTCTATGTTTCCAACAGTTGAAACTGGGAAGGAGATGTACCTTTCTTCCTCCCACTAGGTTAGAGACGTATTTTCTATGTTTC